AACTCTTCCAGGGAATTTATAAGGGAGGAAAGTAGTACTACTTATACTTATGAAGCCAACATTGTTGCATTGCTTCCAAAACCTGAAAAGGTAGCTAGCAAGAGAGAGCCACAGGCCAGCCTCAATGAATGTGTCTGCAAAATCCTAACAAAAAACTTAGACATTATATTAAAATATGATTGGAAGGAAATTTATCCAAAAAAATGTCAAGTTAGTGTTATTGAAAGAATTTATTGGACTGGCAGAGTGAGTCAAATGGGAAGTGCTGGCCTACCAAGTTCAACAGCCCAGACAGCCAAAAAAAAAAAAATTAATGAATTTCACCGTATTAGTAGGACAAAGGGAAAACACCATACAGACATCTCATAGATGGGAATTATGATAAAATTCAGTGTCAGTTCTGGATTTAAAAACAGTAAGATAGGACTAGTTGGATACTTTCTTTTATCTTTTTAAAATTCTTTTCTTAATTTTTTTTCTTTGTCTTTATTTTTGTTTTTTTGAGATGGAGTGTCACTGTGTAGCCCAGGCTGGCTTGGATCTCGTGATCCTCCTGCTTAGCCTTTTGAGTGTAGGACCACCACACCCACTTTCTTACCATGATCAAACCTTCTGTATCTCAAGTGGAAAGTGAGTAGCAGACTTAATGGCATGACTTTATAAGCATTTCCATTCAAGTGGACAATTTGTCCCTACTAGGATTTGCTTTCTTCTGGAGTGCTAGCCATTGCGGTTAATCAGGGGATGAGATACGAAGTTTAAATGTTGGAAAAGAGACAACCATTTGTGGATGAAAGAATTGTATACTCCAAAAGTCCAACATGATTAATTATAAAAACACTGTAGTTAAGAAAATTAAGTGGTGTGGTTGGTTAAAAATCAATCCAGAGCCTGGCGTGAAGGCGTATGCCTGTATGAATAACCAGGAGAGTGAGGCAGAAAGAATGCTTGGCAGAGAGAGAGAAGCACAACCACACCTACCTTGCAATCACGGGATGGTGGCCTTTCTGATGGCTACCATGCTGTTTGAGTGACTGGGTGGAGAAGTGAGGATCACAGTTAAGAGCCAGCCCAAGCAAAAAAAAGTTAAAAACCCTACCTCAAAAAAACAAGCTAGGTAAGTAGGAGGATCAAAGTCCCAGACCAGCCTTGGGCAAAAAAGTGGGAAACTCTGCCTGAAAAATAAACTAAAGCAAAAAGGGCTGAAGGTGTGACTCAGTAGTACAGCAAGCACAAGGACCTGCGTTCAAACAGTGCCACCAAAATGAATGAATGAATGGATAGATAGATAGATAGATAAATGTGAAGGAAGTGATTTACCCAGGCCACAGATGGTCACTGGGCCAGGGCCAGAACTGAAGTTCTTGGCTTCTCAGGCCAGCACATTTGTTGTGTCTTCATTCAACTGGAACTCCAAAGCGATGGAGACCAGGCAGAGGCTGGGAAGTCAAACTCTGTGCAGAGAAGGAGGAAGTGTACTCTTCAGCCCGGGAAGAGCAGGCTTATGTGCCCCAGCCTGCACTGCCCCAGGCCTTTCTTGACAGCTTAACGTGTGTGCGTGTGTGTGTGTGTGTGTGTGTGTGTGCGTGTGTGTGGTCAATAGTTGAGTTCCTTCAGAGAACCCTCCCTCCCTTTGCAAACCTTCCTGTGGATTCTCAGGATAAGAATGTAAATGAGCATACCAGCAGCATGGGTCACGCTTGTAATCCTAGCTACTTGGGAGGCTGAGATTGGGAAGATCAAGGTTTGAGGCTAGCTTGGGCCAACAGTCCTAGAGACTCCATCTCCAAAATAACTAGAGTAAAATGGATTAGAGGTGTGGCTCAAGCGATAGAGTGCCTGCTTTGCAAGAACAAAGTTCAGTTCAAAGCCTGGTCTCACCAAAAAAAAAAGTAGATGAAGGGCATGTGTTTTATAATTATGGATTAAAATAAGAAATATTCTACCACATACACTGTGTTTCATACCAAAAGTTTCCCTACATATTTATTTTTTTTTTAATTATGAGATTATGATTTTTTTCAGTTTCTTTAAAAAATTGAGTTATTATGCCAGGTGGGCTGTAATCTCAATACTAGGGAGGCTGAGACAGGAGTATCACAGTTCCAGGCCAGTCTGGGCTACATGGTGAGTTTGAGGTCAACCTGAGTTAGCAAAGTCCTGCATCAAAAACAAAACAAAACAAAAAAGCCGAAAGGAACAAAGGGAAAACAAAATAATAATTGAGTTGTAACTTACATAGAGAACACTTATGTTCTCTATTAGCTTACTGATTTTTTGACTTTTGCTATAACTTGACTAATACATTATTTAAGCAAGGAATTATCTATATTTTATTTAACATTCATGAAATCACTTTTTAGTTCTCTTGCACAAGCAACAGAAATCTTAAGTATTTCATCTTAATACTATTAAAACATAGATTCATTATGATATCCTGTGAACTGAATATTCCTTAGCAAAGGAAGAGTTATAAAGAGGCTTTCTGGGGTGCTAGAAATACATGTTCTTTATCCTGACTGTGTGGTCAAAACTTATCAGACACTTAAAATGTCAGACACTTATCAGACACATTTTATACGTACATTATACCTCAGGTAAGAAAAAAAATGTAAAGGCACAAGCAAGCTCCCTGGTCAGTCTCTTTCCTTACAGTTGTCAGAATTAAATGCCATGTTCACACAAATGGTGCTTTGTGACTTAAATTTTATGACCTGTACAATCTTTCAAAGCATTTGAAATAATTACAAGAAAAAGGATATTTATAGCCCACAAAAGTAAAACATTAAATCATTTGGTCCTATAGCATTAAGAAATTTTCAATATTAATACCTGCTTTCGAGCTCATGATAGAAAATATTTCCAGCTCTCTAGAACTGTTTTCTTCTTTGAAAGATGATTTGCCAGATTAGTGAGAAAGGACTTCTATAAAACAAAGCTAGGAAAATGTATTCTCTTTGAATCAATTTGTTCTAAAAACTTCAGACACTATTATAACTAGTGTCTTTTGTCAATTACTGTATTTAGAAGCTGTTCATTCTCCTTACAAGGAAAGACTTGTAATTTCATTTATATTCTTTCATAAGTTCAAATGGACTTTTTCTATAATTTCTTCCCTTCAGATAATCATTTTTATCTTTTTTGGGGAGAGTAATTTATTTGTATTGCTTCCATTTTTCTACTATAGTGTTAAGACAATAAGTATCACTCTCCTATTTTCTACTTACAATTCATTTGGAATGTTAGTACCAATATAATATATGATTTTTTTTTTAAATTATGGGGAAATGCAGTTTATGTTTCTCTCTCTCTCTCTCTCTTTTTTTTCTTTTTTGGTAGGACTGGGGTTTGAACTCAGGACTTTGCAGTTGCAAAGTAGGTGTCTACTGCTTGAACCTCACCACGAGTCCATTTTGCTCTAGTTTATTTTGGAGATGGGAGTCTTGTGAACTGTTTGCCTGGGCTGGCCTCAAACCTCGATCCTCTTGATCTCAGCTGCCTAAGTAGCTAGAATTACAGGTGTGAGCCACCATACCTGGCAGTAGAGCTGAGATGGGGGTGGTAAATAGCTGGGGAGATGGAATCAAGACAAGGTCTCTCCCTTCCTCCCTCCCTCCCTTATATATATTTTTTTGTTTTGAGGGGAGTACTGGGGTTAAACTCAGGGCCTCATGCTTGGTAGGCATGCACTCTACCACTTGAGCCACTCTGCCAGCTGTTTTTCTCTCTTTACAGGCTTCTAAAAATCAACTTAAATAAAAGTTTATATGGAAATTTTCTTTACATATCTGAAAGGACAAAGATTATACTGTAAAAGCCAAAATAATTTTTGCACAAGTTCAATAAAATGCAGAAAACAAGTAAAGATTATGTTATTTGGGGCACAAAAATAAACAATGCAATACTATTTGAGTAATTTAGCAACATAATACTCATTCTTTATAGAAATAAAACTATAAACTTAGAGAATGCCCTGGCAAATACTAAATATTATATACACAATGAGGTAAATGAACCTTGGTCTCTTGAGAAGTAATTTAAGTTTAAGCAATTGACATTTTGAAGCATGTCCTTGACATATAAAGAAATATCAAATATCCCATTCCATTGGCACAACATGTAAAAGGGACATCAAAACATGGTTCATGATACTCAGTTCACAAATTTTGTTAAAAAATAAAAACAAACTTACTGAAGTTCTCTTAAGTGTTACGATATTTTTTCTTAGTCATATAATCTGAACATGATGGCAATATATAAATAAAGCTAACAACAGTTTTTACCATTATTAGCCATTATACATAATTATAAAGATATTATATATTATTAAGATATTGAAGGTGCATGCTGGTGGCTATCATCCTAGCTACTCAGGAAGCAGAGATCAGCAAGATTGTGGTTTGAAGCCAGCCTGGGCAATAGTTCTCGAGACCCTATCTTGAAAATACCCATCACAAGAAAGGGCTGGTGGAGTGGTTTAACCAGTAAGAGTGCCTACCTAGAAAATGTTGAGTTCAAACCCTGGTGCTGCCAAAAAAAAAAAAAAAAGAAGAAGAAGAAAAAGGAAAAGGAAAAGATAATGAATGTAATCTTTTAAACTAATTTAGTAGGTCAGGATGTCAACCTTCATGCTGATTTAGTTTAGTCTGGTGAACTGCCTGTGTTATTAACCTCTGGTGGGTCTAAGCTGTTTTGCTGAGAAAATTTGCCTCCAGTTGTGATGGGCATTAGCTCAGGTGAAAGATGATAATATTACAGAGATTTTATTTATACTGTGAGGGTAAGATTAATATTTAAGGGTACTTTTACACTCATGTGACATTTAGAATAAGTCTGTTTTTCTTTTTCCTTTTCTTTTTTGGTGGTACTGGGTATAGAATTCAGGACTTTGCATTTGAGACACACTGTCAGCCCTTTTTGCTTTAGTTTTGACATAGGGTTTCATGTTTCTGCCTGAGCTAACCTGGACCATGACCCTCCTATTTACACTTTCCTCATAGCTGGATTGACAGGCAAACTGTGCCCAGCTTTTCATTGGCTGTGATGGGAGGGTCTCACCAGCTTTTGCCTGGATTGGCCTCGAACTGTGATCCTCCAGATGTCAGCCTCCTGAGTAACTAGAATTACAAGCTTGAGCCACTTCACCTGACTGGAAGTAAGTCACTCTTAATATCTTGTGCTTACTTGACACATGAAAAATATGTAATTAAATAAAATCTGTTATTTCCAACTGTGGCCAATTTTTCTCAACTTCTTCTGGTACCTTTTCTTAGAACTCAGACCTTGCTAGCTATAAAAGGGCAGTTACTAATTGCTGTTAGATAATTCATGATTAGGGAAAGAAACCTCAATGAGTCATTTGCTAGGCTTATTTTCACAGGACAGGATGCCAGGATAAATGGTGTGACTATCACTCAGGAAAAGCTCTTTTCTGTTCCACAGAAAAATGACAGCCTCTTTCAGCAGAGAAGAGATAAGAATATAGTTGCTATGTTTTAAAGGTTGCTGTCCTAGACTATTTCTCAGTGGGAAGAACCTGAATCTAGTAGGAATCAGCTATGGGGTTGACAAGGTTTGAGCCATCAGGGCCACACTCAAGGATGCTAATCAGGAGACAAGAACTGGTTGCCCCACCTTGATGAGAGGGTTATCCTTGGTGTCAGCTCTGTGGAACCTACAAGTAGGTATGATCTTGTCTTACCTTTCCTTTTCTTTTCCTTTTTCCTTTCTCTTTTACCGAAGTATCAAATACACAGAGCAAAATGTACACATCTTGAATGCACAATTGATGAAATATATATCTATATGTGAATGTATATATATATATATATATATATATATATATATATACACACACACACACATGTGTATATATGTGTTTGTATATATGTATGTATGTATGCATATGCTTCTGTCACCACCACTCACATCAACATTTCCATCTTAGAACTGGGCTTGGCAAGCTGCAGTCTGTGAGCCAAATCTGGTCTGCCATTTGTTTTTGTAATGAAAGTTTTACTGGGACGCAGCCACACTCCTTTATCTAAGTGCTATTGTTTGTGGCCACTTTTGCTCTATGACAATGCAATTTGAGTAGCAGTAAGCACCAGATGACCCACAAAGTATTCACTGCCTGGTCCTTTAAAGGAAAAGTTTCTGGCCCCAATAGTGGGTGACTATTTCCTGTCCCATCTCAGTCAGTATCAGCCCCTCTGTGCTATTCTGGCTCTTTCCGTGGATTAGTTTTACCTATTCTAGAACTTTATAGAACTAGAATTATGCAGCATATTGTTTTACTTCTCCATTTCTCATGATGTCTGTGAGATTGGCCATGTTGTTATATGGAAATCGGCAGTTCCTTTCTTTTCTTTCTTTTTAGACAAGGTCTCTCTATGTTGCCCAGGTTGTCTAGGCTGGTCTCCAACTCGTGGACTCAAGTGATCCTCCTGCCTAAGCCTCCCAAGTAGCTGAGACTACAGATGTGTACCACCACACCTGTCTTTGAAAATTAATATTTTATTTTACTCACTTCATGTCAATTTCATTGCTTTTGGTTTAAATTTAGAGCTTTGCACTTCCCAGGCAGATGCTCTTACTACTTGAGCCATACCTCCAGCCCCTAAAAATTATTTTTTAAGTGCCAACACTTTCAACAATAATATGCTAATAAAAATAAAATAAAATTTAAGATTTTTCATTTGAAAATTAAAAATTTATGATTTAATGATCTGCAGGATGAATAGTAAGGTGTAGCCTTTCATTAATTTGTGATGACAGTTTGCATATATTTTACTAATGTTATACAGTTATTTTACTTTCCTTTGAGTTCTTTGTAACATTTTCATAACTATTAAAAAATCCCTTATGTACGATATAATTAGATCTAATTAGTTTTAAGGGTTTTGCTTTTAAAAATTTCCATTTATTCTAGGGTGAGGGGTATGGCTCCAGTGGTAGAGTATGCCTGAGACACTGGGTTCAATCCTCTGTACTGTAAATAAAATAAATAAATAAATAAACAAACAAACAAACAATGAAAAGAGTGCCAAGTTTGGCCAGGTGTGGTGGCTTACTTCTGCTGTAATCCTAGCTACTTGGGAGGCAGAGGCAGGAGGGTCTCCAGTTAAGGCCAGCCTGGGCTAAAGTAGTTAGGAAGATCCTATCTTAAGAACAAAAGGATAGGAGTGTGGATCAAGTGGTAGAGCACTTGCCTAGAATGTTCTAGGTCCTGGTTTCAACTCCCCAGTACTGTTGGGGAAGGGAGTCCTTTTAGTTACTCTTAGGTGGCAGCTTTCACTTCCTAGAAGGTCTGTTTTATGCATCCACATTCAGAGTTGGATGACAGCATTTTTTTCCCACCAATGATTTAAGGCATAGATTTGTATACACGATTTGTATAGGGAATTTACAAGTTCCAATACAGGCCTGGTCTTTCACAACTCTTGTTTTCTGTTCTTTCTCCACCCTCTTTCTCCCAGTCTCTACCTTCACAGGTCTCAACTCTTTTTCTAAGAACAGCAGAAAATGATCGAGTACCAGGTGAGTGTGATGTTAAGTAGTCCACGTTTTCTTTCTTGAGTAAACAGTCCTAGAAAAAAGAAAAGGTATGCATTATAAGCATTTGTCACAGGCTGGATTCTCAGGAAAACAGACTTAGAGATAAAGTTTAACAAAGCCAATTATTAAGGAGGCTCTTGGCACACCAGTAAGGCAGTGAAGGAAGCAGAATTGGGCAAAGTAAGTTGTTCAAAGAGGCTTGAGCTGATCTTATTAAAATACTGTGGAGCTGGGATGGTCCAGTGTTGTCTTAAGTTGAGGTCAGCAGGCTTTTTAGTTTTGAAATTAACCACTCATGTATCCCAATGGGGCAACTCCCATTGGCCAAGGATGATTCTTAGAAAGGTTTCAAGCCAGTAGGAGCCAGTCCTGCAGGGGTGGTACAAAGCAGGCAAGAGAGATGATGGCAAGATGTATTAATCCTTAGGAGTGCACCATTTTTTTCAGATCAAGTACATGATGCTCCATTGTAGGTGTGGATTATGACTACTTTAACCAGCCCCCCATTTTATGAGCATTTAGGTAATTTCCAAACAAAATATTACAAAGAATGTAAGGAACATTCTTTGTTGGAATACAGATGTACAAAGTACAGAGTTAAGGAGAGTCAGTAACTGTGATCTTCCAACAAAAAGATAAAGTTTAACCCATAATTTTTATTGTCTATAAGGAAAACATCTATTGTTGTATTGTCTGTACGGAAGACACATATTGTTATCTTTTAGAGAAAACTAGCTTTTCAGGGTCCTTGGTTTGGTTATACATTTCCCTAGCTGAGGTAGAGCAGTGCTGCTGCTAAGAGAATGGTCTCAAGACATGGGAATCAGCTTGCAGCCTGTTTCAAATACAGACCTACCAGATGGGGTTCTCTGTGAATGGAGCCTGGGAATCTGTGTTTAAGTGGCTTGTGCTGAGTTTTAGTACACATAAGTATGTAAATCACTAATACAGAGGACAGAATTCTTAACCATAACGAATTAATACAAAAGCAGGTTTAAGGGGCACCCTCTCTTGGGACCCCGTCCCCATCTCTGGGGGCTCTACTCTCCCACTTTACATTTTTCTATCTCAATAAACTCTCCTATTTTACACTTTTTTTTAAAAGGCAGGTTTAACATAGAGGTTCTTCAGTGCTTCCAATGGAACATGGTGTCAACTTTATAGAAAAATTCTTGGTTTTTTGGGTGACAAAAACCATGGGGTCCTTCATTCCCCAATATGTGTTTGCTATTGATGTTGGAGTCACAGGAAATTCTAATTCCTCTGTGGTTTGTAATCCATGTACACAATGAAGGTATCAACCTAAAATGAACAGCAGTGAGACCGACTCCCCAAACCAAAGAGTTTATTTGGGAATAACAAGGGATTGCAATCCAGGAAACATGTGCTATTCCAAACCACAGGTGTATCAAGGGAGCAAGGGAAGAAGTCCATATAAGCTGTTTTGAAACAAATACCAATGGCTATAAGCGCATATTACAGGCAGTGATGGTGGTACTGGTTTTTGGAGGAGAGGACCTTCGTAAAAATGGGTTATCTGGAAGTTTTTCCTGTTACAAGCAAAGCGCCTTCCTTCATGGCCTCCTGGCTCCAGTTTGGCAGTACAGGGGTCAGAACTCAGGGCTTTGTGCTAGACAGGCATGTGCTTTACTGCTTGAGCCACACCTCCAGCCCTCTGGCTCCAATTTCACATAAGTGATTCCATTCCAATACTGACAGTGTTCATAACAGAACTGCTAAGTTTCAGTTAGAAGAAAGTGAATATATAGGTAGTTTCTTTTGTAGAATAGAGGATTCCATTCTAAAAACTCAGGATTCCTCCAAGTGTCAGAAGTCCTGAATTTCACCCAAGGTATCTATAGTCTTGAGCTAGACTGAGGAATAGATAGATATTCTGCCCACCATTTAAATCACTGTCATTCTCTTTAAGTGTCTCTGCTAGTTTGGAGCAAATAAACATCTTATTCCCCAGGAAGTCTCACTCAGAGCTGCTCCAGCTCTCCCTACCTTCACCCTCTTGTTAGCGAAGAGTCCTGCGTCCAGAGGGGACTCTTGCCCTTCAGCCTCTGAGCTTCTCCATTTTCACCTCTTCAGAGGTGTTCTGGCACCAAGATGGATGCTGGGTTCTCTTTAGTACTACTTTCCTCCAGCTGCTCCCAGAGGCAGTGGGTTGGTGTCTCTGGCACTGTGTACTAGAGTGATCTACCCTGCTAGACCCAGGGCACAGGCACTGGATCCTCCTTTTTTGTGTCATTTAGAATTATTTTCCCTTTTCTATAGAGCTTAAATTTCTGATTTACATTAGTTTTCCACTTAAAATGGGTACATTATATAATGTTTTGTGCCAGGTACTGTTCAAAGGGAATTGATATTAACTAATTTAAGCCTCAAAATGACAAGAGACATGCACCATGTTATTTCCATTTAACAGATGAGGAAACTGAAGCACAAGAGGTTAAATAGCTTACCCAGTGTCTCTCAGTGAGTGCCAGAGTTGGTATGGATCCCAGGTGGTCTGGTCTCTATCTGAACTTTGCAGACAGTGTTAAATTCCTCCAGCAGATGGAGTACTGCCAACCAGGGAAGCTCATGTTGGCTTTGGTGGACTGAGTTTTTATTGGGACTTGATCATGTAGACATGGCTGACTGCTCCTGTGGCTGACTGCTGTCTCCAGCCCCTACACAAGGAAGGCTAAGTTGATGCCCGTGACCCAAAGCTCTCCTCATAAACCACATTGTTAGGCGATCTGGTGTAGCCCATTGTTCCCAGGTAAACAAAGCTACGCTTACTCAGAAGGACACACCAAGGACTTAAGAGATTACTTTCTAGGATCTAAGGGCAAAGGTTAGACTTCCTTTTTCATTTACTTTTTGGCAAGGTTAAATTTTTTACTGCACCATCACTTGTATCTTCTGTAGGTATCTTCATAGGTTAGTGGGTCTTTGTCAGTGGCTGTCCTGTTCCTTCCCAGTACAGTTGTCCCTTGGTATCTATGGGGGATTGGTTCCAAAATTCCCTCTCCCAATATTATAATCTTCAGATGTTCAAGTCCCTTGTGTAATGTATTTGCGTATAATCTCCACGTATTTTCTGTATACTTTAAATTATACTTAATATAATGCTACATAATAGTTGTGTAGTAACGCTATATAAATATTCCTATTTAGGGACTAATGAGAAGAAAGAAGTCTGTATATGTTCAGTATTGAATTAGTTACTTTTCTCATCACTATCACAAAATACCTGACCAACAATTTACAAGAAGAAGAATTTATTTTGGCTTATGGTTTCAGAAATTTCAGTCCTTGCTCCATTGATTCTGAGCCCATAGTAAGACAGGACAATGGCAGTGGGAGAGTGTAGAGGAGGAGGCTGTTCACCTCATAACAGACAGGAAGCAGAATGAGGAAAGGACTGGGGACAGGTATAACCTTCAAAGTGACCTACTTCCTCCAGCAAGGTCCTACCACCTGAAGTTCTCAGAACCTCCCAAAATAGTGCCACATTAGCCTGTGGGGGACATTTCATATTTAAATCACAACAAATAAAAGACCCAACTTTTTCCCAAATATTTTGAGTCCATGGATGTGGAACTCACAGATACCAAGGGCCAACTGTACTTACGCTGGGACCTCCAGCGCAAAGGAGCTCTTTAGAGAACTTATGTTCTCTGTGCCCCAAACCAGGGGCTGCCTACAGCCAGTATAATATGAGGCTTGCCACCTGTTCAAACATCCTTGTCCCAGACCTCTACATTCTTCTTTGGGTTCCCTGCTGCTGCTGGCTTCTTAAATGCTGGTGTCCCTTAGAGCTCTGGCCTTGGCTTTACTCATTCCTGTCTCCTTGCAGAAAGAATGGCTCTGCGCTAATGGTTCCCACAGCTTTACTCCATTCCTATCTAGTTCCTGATAAGACTAGCATATCCACTTTGCTGCCTGATAAGTGTCTCTACTTGTATGTCCTGTGGACATGCCCCACATACTACATCTTTCTCCTCCACCATCACCCAGTTGCTTTTGAGGGACCTGCATGTGGCGCTTCTCTCTTCATCTTCCACAACCAGTTAAGGTACAGGTTCTGCAGTGTTTCAGTGTTCCTCCTCTACCTCCCTGCACTGTCCTGCTGTTGAACCTCTTTTTCCCACCATAAATAGCCCAAAACCAGGGATGTTAAAGGCATTCTTTGGTAGATAAATGATCGTGGTGATCTCTGACCTGTGAACATTGTAAAAATCAGTACCATCCACTGTGTCATCTTTTTTTTTCTATATTTCAGCTTCAGCAGAGACCTGTGTCATTCAAAGATGTAGTTGTGGGTTTCACCAAGGAAGAATGGCACCGACTGAATCCTGCTCAGAGGGCCCTGTACCGTGATGTGATGCTGGAGACATACAGCAACTTGGTCTCTGTAGGTAAGAAGAGCTTCGTCACACCCTTCAGGTCATGTTCGACTGACCTTTGTCAGTCACCAAAAGCAACTGAAGCAGCTAGAGCCTACTCTGAAGTACCTAATTTACTTAATAATTATCTATCAAGCTGAGTGTGGTGATGTGCTCCTGTAATTCTAACTACTAAGGAGGCTGAGGCGGAGAATCACCAGTTTAAGGCCATGGGCAACACAGTAAGATCTCATCTCAAAAAAAAAAAAAATTAGCATTCTCTGTATGACAGACACTGTTTTAACCACTTTTCTCTTTTAGACAGGGCCCAAGTTGACCATGAACTTGAGATCCTCCTGCCTAAGCCTCCCAAGTACTGACATCAAAGGAGTGCACCACCACACCTGGCTTGCCACTTTTAAAATAGTAACTCATTTAATCCTCATAAAAGCTTCACACCAAGTCAGATCTGCTTCCACCTCAGCCTATGGTGGTTTAATCTCAGGCGTTTCTTACATAGCTCAAATTCTCAACTCAGTGAACAAGTTCATCCATATTAAACTTGTGCTATACTCATTAAATACCAATCACAAAGAATTCTTACACAGACAGAACATTTCATTGTACAAATACCATTATGATCATGAAAAAGAGCATCTATTTCAATTGAATTGAACATGAAAATTCAGTGAAATGGTTTTTTTCCATAGTAATTAAGAACAAATAGCAAATTAATTTCCTCTTTTGTTAAGTTTTCATCAGTTTTGTACAAACACTTCCTTCATGAAACTTTCTCTTTTTCTGATGGATATCGTGTCTGGCTAGGTACCTTTTGTGGCACTTACTACTCTCTAGCTTGTTTTTCCTGCTACTGATTTATATTAATAGACCTAAGCTCAGTAGTAAAGCGTTTGCTTATTAACATATGTAAGACCCAGGATTTGATCCTTAGCACTACAAAAAATGAATAAATAAATAAAATAAAATAAAATATAGACCCAAGCTCTGAGGAAGCATCCACATCTGAAAATTCTCGCTTTCTCCTGTATCATAGTATACAGTGTAGTAACATGCATGCAGAAAGAGCAAATGTTTTGAAAAGAAATGTATATACAGCATAGACTCGTGTATCTATTGGACTCATGTTTGTGATGTCTTATGGAGAAAGAATCATGTCTACAGGAGGATACCATTTCTACAACAAAGTAACTACAGTAGAAGTGCTGTACATTTTCCCAGTAATGAATGCCTGAGGACAGCTCTCAAGTTAACCTCAGTGGAGCTATACCCAGAACAAATATCCAAACACTAGTTACTGTTTTCAATATATGGACAGTCATGGTGGTGCGTGCCTGTGATCCAGGCACTCAGAAGACTGAGACATGATCGTGAGTTAGAGGCCAGCCTGGGCTACATAGTGAGACCCTGTCACAAACACAAAAACAAAAATACATATATTGATTGATTTAATCACCTTCTTGAACTTTTCAACATTTCCACATTAGGCTTAAACTTTTCCACAGTACTTTTATCTCCACTATGCAGTGACATTTGAAAGCTAGACTATTACATTTTAAAAACGTTAGCTGGGCTGAAGGTGTGGCTCAAGTAGTAGAGCGTCTGCCTAAGCAAGTGAGAAGTCAGAATTCAAACTTTGGTATTGCAAAAACAAAAACTTTATGAGACAGGTGCTTTCAGTACCATGACTTACAGATTTGGAAATTGGGCACGGAGAGTTAAGTGAGTTGCTCAGAGCTACCCTGTCAATACCCAGTGGAGTCTGGCTACAGAACTGCAACAGTGGGTTTGATCTGAGCTTTAGTGGTCCTGGAGATCCAGTTCTGTGTGGCTGTGGGTGAAGTGTGTGCAGTCCCCTTCCAAGTATTACATCTAGTGTTGTGTAGCCTTTAAACCTGCCCGAAAGGCCCAAAGACCACGGAGCTTGGCTCAAGACCTGGGTCATTTCCCTGGAACAGGTTATGAAGGCACCAAACCAGATGTGATCCTCAGGCTGGAGCAAGAAGAAGCACCGTGGATTTGTGAGTCAGTGTGCCTGGGCTGCCACTATCGGGGTAAGTGTGACAAACCTAGCTCGGGGTATTACGGGAGGCTGACTCCTTTGAAACTGTTCAGGGTCCTACTATTGAAAGTCTTGACATTCTTCTGAGATCTTCAGCCTTCTCAATGGTCTCTTAGCCTCCATGTGTTCCACATGGTAGGTGTTCCTCCTGCCTCTACTTTAAATCTCAGCTCTGCCTTTAATGTGTGTGATCCGTCTTCAATTTTTTTGTTTGTTTGGTTTTTTGTATTTCTGGGGATTGAACTCAGGGTCTCTGCTTGCAGGCCAAGCACTCCACCACTTGAGCCATGCCCCCTTCCTTTTTGCTTTTAGTTTATTTTTCAGTTAGGGTCTCACTTTTGCCTGGCCAGCCTTTGATTTCAATCCCAGCCTTCTGAGTGGCTAGGATTACAGGCATGCACCACCAGGCCTAGCTCCATCTCCCTTTCTCCAGAATCTTTGGTCTATCACTTGAGGCCATCAGTACACCTTATTTTTCATATTCAGGTGTTCTTGCAAATGAGCCTCTATGATTCTTCCATTCCTGCTGGTCCCTTCCTATTCTCTACTGTGACAGTTGCCTGGTGAAATGCTATGGACTTGGTTACCACTTCCACAGTCCCAATGCTCTCAATCCAGTGTTTCCCTGCACTCAAGAGCTGAGTCACTCCCATAGATGGAAGAGTATTGGCTTACAGAGGAGGAAGCAGTGGATGCCATGTGGGGTGGGGAGGTAACCAGGGATGGCTAGGTATGAAGTAGATGGCTGAGCTGGGCCCATCTTAACCATGTCTAATGAACTCTCAGTATAACTATAAAATATCCCAGCAATACCCATGGTGCCTCAAGGGTTGGTGATCCACTCTTAGGGATGGCTCTGAGCTTCTGCTTCTCCACAAGAATCACAGGCTTAGCAAGAGTCAAGGCCAGAGAAGCCCTGAAGAAGGCCTCTCTTCTGTTCCTAAGTCTCTTTATGCCACTTTTATTTTGCTGTTGTAAGCATACAAATGAACTATTATATAAACAAAAAAATTCAAGTCATTTTCATGCTTTTTGTCAAAATGATGCCTTTGAAACCACCACCATCCAGCTTTCAATAGTGGTAGGAGTAGCAGCAGCTTTGTTAGAATTATTGGGTAACATGGGTGGTGCTCACTGTGTGCCATGGACTGTTCTGGGCACTGTACATGTATCGGCTTATTCACTCTTTCAACACCAGCCTTCATTGCCTCATTTACAAATGAGAAGACCTAAGAACATACACCAAGTACAGGACAGAACAGGACCTTGAACCCAGGCCATCATTCTCCAGAAACAGTGCTCATAACTGCTACATTTCAGTGCCCTCTGTTCCCGCTTTATTAAACTGTGACCATCACTTTCCCAAACCAAGGTGACCTGGCTCTCAGCACCTATCCTTTCCTTCTTCTCCTTTTAAGAATTTTATAACGGCAAATGTCAGTCAAATGTGTCTACTCTGCCTTCCTTTCTGAGTGTTGTGTATTCTGCATTTCCCTGGTTCAAACCCAGCCTTTTTCTTCTATGGCTTACTGCACTTTCCTATTCTCCATAACTTGGTTCTCTTCCCAATGAGGTAGTGACCTCAAAGAATTCATCAATTCTCAGACCACACATTATGTGGCTCATAACTGGCTTCTTTGTCATTTGGAACCCATTTGTCCCTTCATACCACCCAGTCCACCATTTTTACTGGTGTAAGGACCCTCTCCACAGGTAGGTCCACTTGCCCTGTCCTTTGTAAAAAACCTAAGGTCATCCATGTCCCTCTGTGCTCGAGCTTTCTCTCACACACACATACAAACCCTTCACCTTCTTTTCTCTCTCTCTCACCCCTTTCACTTTCTTTTCATTCCAGACCTTTGCTATGGTATACTCATTTTGCATCTTCTTCCTCTTTCAATCTTTCCACATGTTCTGGTTTATTGATTTTTTTTCTTTGTAAAATGATGTTAAATTTTTATTGCTGTGCTTACTTTCCACTGATGCCTCCTACAATCAGATCTGAATTATCTCATGCCTAATGTATTTAAAGTCAGGAGATTTGTGTCAGAGATCTCTTAGGCATTCTGTTGACTCATTTTTTACATATAAAAATTGAATAAAATCCATGAAATTATGAAAGAAACAAATTACTCTAGTAGAATAATTGTCAAAATAAAAGGTGAGGACCAGGCACTGTGGCTCACATCTATAATCCCAGCAACTTGGGAGGCAGATATCAGAAAGATTGTGGTTTGAGGCTACAGTAGGCAAAAAGTTATTGAGACCCCCATCTCAACCAGTAAGCTGGGTGTGGTGTAGCAAGCCCATCATTCCACCTACATGAGAGGTGTAAATGGGGAGGCTCTCAGTCCAGGCCTGATCAAACAAAAACATGACATCCTATTAGAAAAATAACTAAAGCAAAAAGGTCTGATGGCATGACTAGCAAGCACAAGGCCCTGAGTTTAAACTTCAGTATCTCCCCCCAAAATAAAAATAAAATAAGCTTAAGAAGTGAATGGCCAGGCACAGTGGTTCATACCTGAAATCCCAGCAATTTAGAAAGCAGAGATTAGGTGGATTACAGTGTGAGGCCAACCCAGGCAAAAAGTTAGCCTCAGCCAACAAGCCGGATGTGTGATTACAGATCACACCTGTAATCTCTACTACACAGGAGGCATGAAGAGGAAGATCATGTTCCAGGCTAGAGAAGGCAAAAACCACGACTCTGTCTGAAAAATAAAGGAGGACTGGTGGAATGGCTGAAGTGGTAGAGCCTAGCAGGCACAAGGCCCTGAATTCAATCCCACCAAAAAAAAAAAAAAAACCCAAAGCAAAAAGCGTTCAGGGTGTGCCTCACACGGTAGCAAGCACAAATGCCTGAGTTCCAGCACCAGTGCCGGCAATAATAATCGTGTTTAATTACATTACAGCTTACTGAAAATACAGATGCATTTTTTTTCCTGTCCAAGTTCTTAGCCCCTGTGGTTTCTATTTACCAAGTTAAGGACTCCTGTTTTAAATCCTGTTTAGCTTTGTTGATTCTTTTAGCTAGTTCCCCTTAGAGTATTTATAACTAACTAGCCCAACAGGACAGACTTCCTGATACCTGTTATGTCAGTGCTTGGTAAACTCTAAACATGATAATAAGCAGTTGGTCATCTCTCTAAACCACAGGTCTCATTCAGTGTGCGGCCTGAGATTCAGCATATCTCACTAGCTCCCTAGTAAGTCCACAGTTGTCCCTTTCAGTCCCTCCCATTGGATACCAAGTTTTAAATATAATATTTAAATCTCTTTCTTCTTTAACAGGGATCAGCAAGCCATGGCCTACAGGTTGGCCATCCATTGTTGTGAATAAAGCTTTATTAGAACATAACCACATTCTTCTATGTCTATGTTGTCTGCTTTTTCACTCTACAATGGGAAAATGGAATGATTCTAACAGAGACTATATGGCCCATAAAGCCTAAAATATCTAGTCTTTGGTCCTTTAAGAAGAAGTTTGCCAATTCCTGGTCTATGGTGTCATCCTGTCTTCTTTTACATTATTTATCTGTAGCCCTGTGATCTACACATTTGATTTGTACAGTGCTCTGGATCTTCCATACTCATAGAACAATCTTGAGTGAACTGTGCTTTTGATTATGGTTCATGCTGCCTGTTCATACTGTACACCCTTTGTTTTGGGGGGACATTTCTCAAATAGTTTTATTCCAGATCATAGTAAGTATAAAGGCTCATAAGGAATTATTCACTTGTTCTTTCTCCAGAAGACATCTGGCAAGTTAATGTCCAGAGGAAAAGACAGCAGGACATGCTTTTGAGGCAAAATGCATTCGTTAGCAAGAAAACATTGACCAAGGAAAAAACCCCCGAAAGTAATAAGTTTGGGAAAATATCATTTCTGAGCACTGATTTTTTTCCTTCAATTCAAAGCCCTAATAACTGGGATCCTTGCAGAAAGAGTTTGAACCACAATTTAGATTTGATTGATTTTAAGCAAAACTATGCAAAAAAGCAAGATGAATGTTACAGATATGGGAAACTGTTACAGTGTACAAACCACGATAGAAGATGTAACGGAGAAAAACCTTGGGGTTGCAGTCGCTGTGGGAGAGCTTTTTGCCATAACCCAGAACTTGAATATAAGCCAGCAGGAACCAGTTCGCTCATGTACAAACGGAAGAGGGTTCCCCCAACAGAGAGGCCCCATATTTGTGGTGAGTGTGGGAAAGCCTTCTGCTACAAGTCTGAATTCATTAGGCATCAGAGAAGTCACACAGGGGAGAAGCCCTATGGATGCTCTGACTGTGGGAAAGCCTTCTCACATAAGTCCACCCTCATTAAACACCAGAGAATCCACACAGGGGTAAGACCCTTTGAATGCTTCTTTTGTGGGAAAGCCTTCACCCAGAAGTCCCACCGCACAGAACATCAGCGAACACATACAGGAGAGAGACCCTTTGTGTGCAGTGAATGTGGGAAGTCATTTGGCGAGAAGTCATACCTCAATGTACATAGGAAAATGCACACAGGAGAAAGACCTTATCGTTGCAGAGAATGTGGGAAATGCTTCAGCCAGAAGTCATGCCTCAATAAACACTGGAGGACTCACACAGGGGAAAAACCCTACATGTGCAGTGAATGTGGCAAAGCCTTCTACCAGAAGCCAAACCTCAGTAGACATCAGAAGATTCATGCTAGGAAGAATGCCTATAGGAACGAAAACCTAGTGATTATGGGAAAGACTTGAGCAAGATTCCCAGTGTCATTGGGTATAGAGGAAGTCATCCCTATTAGAAATCTTACCAATTTAATGAATTTGGGTAAAGTATTTTATTGGAAGGGAAGTCATGCTCCTGTTGAGACACACACTTTGATAGAAAAGATAAATATGGTTACAGTAGCATAAAAATAATTAAAATGTATTAAATACAATGAGTACAAAATGTTTGTGAAGAGTCCTAGAAATATAATATGGTACATTCCTCAGTGAGCCAGGAAAGAAGAATTATTTGTACTTTGGAATTATAAATGTGAATTTAACATAAATCATAAATATCAAGCCCATATGTCATAATATATAGGATGCCATCCACCAAACTTTTCCACTTTAAATACCAGCATTGTTTTTTTGGTGTCTTATCAATGTAGAAAAAATAATAACACTCTGACCAACTATTCTTTTTTTGGCAGTACTGGGGCTTCAACTCAGGGCCTCATGCTTGCTAGGCAGGTGGTCTACCATTTGAGCCACTCTGCCAACCCTTTTTTTGTGTTAGGTATTTTCGAGACAGGTCTTGTGAACTATTTGCTCAGACTAGCTTCTTACCAAGATCCTCCTGATCTCGTCCCTCTGAGTAGCTAGGATTACAGGTATCAGCCACTGGCACCTGGCTGGCCACCTATTTTGAGAATGTTTAACATACTATACCCGCTATATTTTCTCCACTTGTTTGTAATAAATGTGAATGACTACAGTTGTTGTTATTGAGCTCATGTCTGAATAACAAAGTAATGTTGTAATGTCTTTTGATAAATCAGCCAAACATTTTACTAAAAACATATTTATGTTGAAAATACAACACTAAGGAATGGTTTAGCAGCCCCAGATAGCAGGTAAACAAAATACTACAGTGATTACTCTGCACACTATTGACAAAAAATAGTGTTGCCCTGTTACATTGTACACTCTTCATATTTTCTTAGTCTTACTTTAAAAGTCTTGCAGCAATTAAAAAGAGACAATTTCTTGAGGGGTTGGTACTGGGGTTTGAACTCAGGGCCTTGCACTTGCTAGGCAGGCGCACTACCTCTTGAGCCATGCCACATCCTGGTCCCTCCCCCACTACTAAGAGACACTTTTTACATGAGTCTTATAATTCAGAATGTCTCATACAGAAATCAGTGAAGTGGAATTTTTTCATTTTAATTTTCTTTTGCAAATCAATGTAGCAACTTCCACTTTCCTTCCCTATATCTATCCTTGTGATTTTTCAGGACATTAAATCCCAACTTTCTATCATCCCAATGTTTGAACAAAGTTTGCTTCCTTGAAGATCATTTTGTCTATATAAGAAAAGAAATGATCTTGAAAATCTATATGACTGCCAGTGCAAATCAGTGAGGAGACAAAACTGCGGGTGTAGACATGATTAAGAGAATGACAAAACAATATTTTGTAAAATTCTAGATCAATATGTTTTTAAAATAGGAAATGGATCTTTTTTAGCAAAATATAAATGAAGAAAATAGAAATAAGAAATAGGAAACTTGATAGAACAGGTGTCATGAAGAATTTGGAAAGGTGATTAAGGATCTATAAGTGAAAAATGCTTAAAGCCAGGTGGCTGGGGGCCTCAACGTGGTGAATGCATAGCTCTGAGCGGTCGACATCAGAAGGACTTGGTTAGAAGCCATGTGGGCTTCTTCCATTCTAATATTACCATTGTTATTATTACAAGCTAGAAAAATACTTAATTACAACACAGTACAGGGACAGAACAACACCAAGGACAATGACGGGAAGACAGAAAAAACAGGGAAACCAGTTTCCCCACAGCAAAAAATTAGTAGGAACCAGAGGGGAATGAAGAAACAGAACTCATCCAGACTCCAACAAAATGAAGATAAACTATGCAAAGGACCCAATGAAGCCACAAGAATAATTTAAAAGAAGACATACTACAAGTACTCAATGAGAATTTTATAGAGATGATACTGGATAGGTCAACCAAAATGTACAGGAGACACTCAAGAAATTCCAAGACAAAAAAATAGAGAATTTGAAAAAGCAAAAGAAGAAATAAAGGACCATAGAAGCACTGTATAAACACCAAAGTGAAAGAGAGAACACAATGAATAAATGATAAATGAACTCAGGACAAAAATAGACAACATTAAAGAGAAAACCCAGGATATGGAAACCTCAGAAAAAAGAACGAAACAGAACTGCAAAACAAAACGGAAGGCCAATCCAGCAGAATAGAAAAACAGAAGACAGAATCTCAGAACTTGAAGATGAAATGGTAATTAAAGGAAAAACCGAAGAACTATTAAACAACTCAAGACCTGTGAAAAGAAAATGCAAGAACTCACTGACTCCATCAAAAGACCAAACTTGAGAATCATGGGCATCGAAGAAGGAGAAGAGGTGCAAGCGAAGGGAATGCGTAATATATTCAACAAAATAATAACGGAAAATTTCCCAAATCTAGAGAAAGATATTCCCATACAAATGCAAGAGGCCTCCAGGACACCAAACAGACCAGATCAAAATAGAACTACTCCATGACATATCATCATTAAAACAACAAGTTCAGAAACTAAGGAAAGAATATTGAAGGCTGTAAGAGAAAAAACAAATAACATACAAAGGTAAACCCATCAAAATCACAGCAGACTTCTCAACAGAAACATTAAAAAGCAAGAAGAGCGTGGGTGAGATCTTCCGGGCACTGAATGAAAATAACTTCAACCCAGGATACTCTACCAGCAAAACTATCATTCAAAATAGATGGAGCAATAAAAGTCTTCCATGATAAGCAGAAACTAAAAACAATATGTGACCACAAAGCCACCATACAAAAGATTCTTCAAGGGATTCTGCACACAGAAAGTGACACCCAACTTAACCATGAAAGAGGCAGGCAGCACCAAACCAAGGAAAGAAAAGCAAACAGTAGAGAGTAACATCAACGTTAGGTACACACAATCAAACCTTCAAACAACTAAGACAACTAAATGGCAGGAATCACCACATACCTATCAGTACTAAACTTAATGTTAATGGACTTAATTCACCCATCAAAAACACCGTTTGACAAAATGGATTAAAAAGAAGATCCAACAATTTGTTGCTTACAGGAGACTCATCTCACCGACAGAAATAAGCATATGCTTAGGATGAAAGGCTGGAAGAAGATTTACCAAGCCAATGGCCCCCAAAACAGCAGGAGTAGCAATACTTATCTCTGACAAAGTAGACTTCAAACCTACATTGATCAAACGAGATAAAGAAGGACATTCCATACTAATAAAAGGGGAAATAGACAAAAGGAAATAATAAATCATCAATCTGTATGCACCCATGTCAACGCACCCCAATTTCATCAAACATACCCTGAAAGACCTAAAAGCATATATAAACGCCAACACAGTGGTTGTGGGAGACTTTAACACCCATTATCATCAATAGATAGGTCATCCAAACAAAACTCAATAAAGAAATCCAAGATCTAAAATATGCAATAGATCAAAGTGGACCTAGTAGATGTCTACAGAACATTTCATCCAACTCTACACAATATACATTCTTCTCAGCAGCCCATGGAACCTTCTCCAAAATAGATCATATCCTAGGGCACAAAGCAAGCCTCAGCAAATATAAGAAAATAGAAATAATACCGCATACTATCTGACCACAATGCAGTAAAAGTAGAACTCAACAACAAAAGTAAAGACAAAAAACATGCAAACAGCTGGAAACTAAATAACTCATTACTTAATGAAGAATGGATCATCGATGCAATAAAAGAGGAAAAAAAAGTTCCTGGAAGTCAATGAAATGAAAACACAACCTACCGGAACCTATGGGACACAGCTAAGGCAGTCTGAGAGGAAAGTTTATAGCCATGAGTGCATATATTAAAAAGACTGAAAGATCCCAAATCAATGACCTAATGATACATCAAACTCCTAGAAAAACAAGAACAAGCAAATCCCAAAACAAATAGAAGGAGAGAAATAATAAAAATAAGAGCTGAAATCAACGAAATAGAAACCAAAAAAAACCATACAAAGAATTAATGAAACAAAAGTTGGTTCTTTGAAAAAAAACAAGATCGATAGACCCCTGGCAAACCTGACTAAAATGAGGAGAGAAAAAACCAAATTAGTAGAATTAGGAATGCAAAAGGGGAGATAACAACAAACACCATGGAAGTCCAGGAAATCATCAGAGACTACTTTGAGAACCTATATTCAAATAAATTTGAAAATCTAAAAGAAATGGACAGATTTCTAGATACATATGATCATCCAAAACTGAACCAAGAGGAAATTAATCACCTGAATAGATCTATAACACAAAATGAAATTGAAGCAGCAATCAAGAGTCTCCCAAAAAGAAAAGTCCAGGACCTGATGGATTCTCTGCTGAATTCTATCAGACCTTTAAAGAAGAACTGATACCAACCCTCCTTAAACTGTTCCATGAAATAGAAAGGGAAGGAAAACTGCCAAACACATTTTATGAAGCCAGTATTACATTTATCCCAAAACCAGGCAAAGACACCTCCAAAAAGGAGAACTATAGGCCAATCTCCTTAATGAACATTGATGCAAAAATCCTCAACAAAATAATGGCAAACCGAATTCAGCAACACATCAAAAAGATTATTCACCACGACCAAGTAGGCTTCATCCCAGGGATGCAGGGGTGGTTCAACATACGAAAATCAATAAACGTAATAAACCATTAACAGAAGCAAAGACAAAAACCACTTGATCATCTCAATAGATGCAGAAAAAGCCTTTGATAAGATCCAACATCATTTCATGATAAAAGCTCTAAGAAAACTAGGAATAGAAGGAAAGTTCCTCAACATTATAAAAGCTATATATGACAAACCTACAGCCAGCATTATACTTAACGGAGAAAAACTGAAACCATTCCTCTAAAATCAGGAACCAGACAAGGATGCCCACTATCTCCACTCCTATTCAACATAGTACTGGAATTCCTAGCCAGAGCAATTAGGCAAGAAAAGGAATAAAAGGAATACAAATAGGTA